TCCGCTGTGCTTTTTTTGGTTTTGTTTTGTCTTGTGAGGGGGAAAATCCTGCTTTCTCTGTCTGTCTGCTGTGAACCATGAATCAGCTTTTTCTGTGATTGGGAGTGATAGTCCAGAGCTATAGGTTCTTCATTCATTTGATGATAGAGCTTACACAGCTATTTCTTGGGTATTGGTGTGTGGTGAAGTTTGCATGGACATTCCAGAAATAGTTTGCTTCTATTTCTTAATACTTTTATGTCTTTGTTAGGAGGGTTAAGAGGGTTAGATATTCCTCTTTATGTATCTAGTATTTTTGGTGAGATCCTTACAAAGTTATTTGGCTGGGAATTTAGATTTGTTAAGGAAGAAAGTAATGTTTTCAAACCAGGAAGGAAGGGAGACTTTAATTTACTGCTGAGTAATAGTGCTGTGGCTTCTTGACTTCTCCACATCTGCTATTTATGTAACAACAAATGTACCTATTAAATGTATTTGTAAAACTGTCAGGTCTGCCTTGGCCTTAACTGAAAGTACATTTACCTGAAATAGTCACACATTCCTATCCCTTTTAGCCCTCAGTTTCCATTTGTTTCCTTTGTTCACACTGATTTTTTTTCCAGATTTTAAACCAGTTAGGAAGGAAACCTGTGAGACCTACCTTTAAAAGATACCATGTATGAATAGATGATATATAATAGGGATATTATTCATCATGCATTGAACTGTACTACTCAAGCTCAGAAGGGAATGTTTTTTTTCTCTGTAGAAGTGCACACTTTTCAGATGAGACCAGTGAACTTTTCATCTGAGAATATCAGAATATAATTCCTGTTTATGCAAGATATTAATTTCAGTTCTGTGACCAGTAAAGTATTAAATAAACATAACATGTATTGAAACTCTTTGTGTCCTATGTACATCTGAGAGGAACTGAGAAATGGGAGTGGCATGTGTATGTTTACGGGAAGTAGGAAGAAAAGCAGATTGCCAGCTAAAAAAAGTGCATAGGTCATTAAAAATTGTGCAGCTGTAGTCAACTTTGCATTTTCCATTGGCAAAAAATAACAATCCATTCTGTCATACCTATTATCTTATACAACCAGACAGCTACAGTAAAATTGCTCTATAGCTTTGTAGCTTTAAACTAAGTTTAAGCTGTTTTTACTTTGTGTTATGCAGTACTTTTACTGTTTTTAATCAGTTTAAATTTGTTTTCTTGTTATAATCTACCATGAAATTTTGGTTAAAGGGCGGCCTATAAATACTGTGAATAGTGTACAAAGAGTAGCTATAGGTTGAAGTACGTATGGCCTTGCATGCCACCTGTAGGGTTTTTTTTTTTTTTTTGTCTAAGAGGGCTGGGATGACTGTCAATCTATCCAGCACTAACTGTTTCTTCTCACCTCTCGGCTGAGTGCTCTTTTCCTCTCTCATCTGTTGAAGTCTGTGTTTTTTGTTTGCTGATTCCAGCTGTAAGTAATGAAGTTTTTATTCTTTCTACTACTTACATGTCAGAGTGAATTATTGAGACTGTAAGTGCCAGTTAATGTGAAAATTATGGACTATCTGGAAAAAATACTATTCTTCCTTCTTTGTATTTCTGCTGTGCATCTAAAGGAGAATTTTAACCCAAAAAATATCAAAATTGTGCAACATTATGAAGTTATAAATCTACCCGCATTCTTATGATAAGCATTTAAATCTGCTTACACTAAATGGAGAATTAAAAAAAAACATGTTATCAGAAGCCTATCTTGCCTTTTTGTGCCCACTGGAAATAAAAAGTGACAATATCTATATTAAATGTTCATAGATATATATATTCATCTTTTCAGGAGTTTCCAGTGATATTGCAAAGATAGTGTCATGGTCTTAGAGCCTGTTCACTTAAGATTCCCATTTTTCCTATATTTCTTAACAGTTGTATTAACTTCTTTTTTACTTCTTAAGAATGGTTTAAGCTTTCTCTGTACACAGAGACAGCCAATCCAAGCCCTGATTATTTAATCTATTTACTGGGAAGGAGTGGACTGAAAAATTAACCATTTTACTACTGATCAATTTCCTCTTTCTGTCTGCTCCTGTAGTTAACCTACCAGAATATAATTTGAAAGTCTGATTTATGCTGTAGAAATCTCTTAGCTTTGGACGTCATAGATTGACTTTGACATTTAGGATCAAAGTATGAATTTAAAATATTGTAAAATTTAATGCCCAGGCTGCTTGTGCTAGAGACTTCTAGGGCAGTTTACTCTTTGTAATCATTTTAGCCTTTATTTCACTCCTCTTTTTTGATTCTATGTGAACTTTTGTTAATTTGTATCACTTTTTGACTTAAGATTTTTTTAGCTTAATGAAGTTTTTCTTCTGTATGCTGGACTTGTCTGTTATATATCCTGTGAACAAGAACAAGGAGAGGATGACTAATGTTTACCTTACAATGACGAGGGGAGTACATGTAGCTACTGTTTCAGTTCATAATGCAGATGATGTGAAGCATCGGCAGTAGACCATGTTCCTTCGAATTTTCAGCCCTACTGTTTGGGGTTCTGCCCCTCATACACAATATTATAAACTATATTATATGATGATAACGATATAGTTATGTATAATCCCTTTCAGTCAACTGCAGCTACACGTGTCTGTTGGACATTGGAATAATCTGGGTAAATAACCCTCATGTTAGCCATGCCTTTTTTTGAAACGATCTCTAAAACAAACTGGCTACAAAAGAAATGGGACAGGGAAATACTTGGGGATAATTTTTGAGAAAGCTGCATCTCATGTAAAGTTCTGTTGCATTTGGCTTTCTGTTTTTCCATAGTGACCAACCAGATGTCTCTGGGAAGTTCTTAAAACTGTATGATTGGTATTCAACAGCATACTGCCTCTGATCCTGCCTCTTATATAACTATCATAATAAGTCAATGATAGACATACAGTACATGGCAGCATGAGGACACACATTAATTCAGTTATGGAGAACTTAATGGCAGTGTTGAGAAATAGATACACACGTAAAAACTTAGGGAAGTTAGCCTGCATGTTAATTTTTTTAAAAGCTGATGCAGAAATTGGATACAGTGATTTTGTCTCCTTTTTTATTTCAGAACAGTAAAAAGCTGATGCAGAAATTGGATACAGTGGAACTAGATTGTGGGGATTCGAAACTATTACAATAAATATTACTTTAGGTAAATTGCCTAAGGATCTGGGAAGTGTCTAGTTTAAGAATAGTTTAAGAATATTCATATGTTGAATGTAATGCTTCTAGGTCATTTAAATGGAAGGAATATATAGCTTTGCAGTGATCATATAGATGATAATAAGGGGGTACTTGGCGTAATTATGGATATAGAGTGTACATGCTGTGACTATGGAACAGAATGGATCAATGAGTAGATTCTTGAGAATGGGATAAGGGTGATATATATGTCACTGATTCTTTGTGTGTGTGTAGGAACAATTGCTTTACAGAATTGCTAAATATAAAAATACAGAAGTATTGGAGCAAATATCCATTGGCTTTTAGTTGTCATAATGTGAACTGCATATTTTTAGTAGGGATGCGCTCCAGCATCAAAATTCTGATTCAGATTTTGGAATTGGAATTCAGAATTTTAGATCTTCAATTGTGGAATTTTAAAAATTGAAGGAGAGTTCCCACGAACCAGAATGCTGCTTCACACAGGAGAGATTTACTGGCAATGAGGCCGGGGGCAACTCCTTCCTTGAATATGATGGAGCTGTATGGTATGGATATGGAATGTCTGGTGCTCTTCTGTTTCCCAAGCACGAAAGCAACAGCACGGCTGCTGCCCCAGCTGACTGTCAGTCTGGTTGTTGATGTCGTCCTTGTCATTCTCTGTCACATTGGCTCTTTGGGAAATACGTTTCTTCTTTGCCATCTGTTTTGGCTCTTGTCTTGGCTAAATTGCATAAAGACATCACTGTAACATGTCTGAGATCCACTCATATCCATTCCACCATGAACAAGAGGTTTCTCTTCCACCTCTATGGCAGAGACTCATACACTCTGCACTATTGCCTGCTGCTCTTTCATAGTGTCAGTGCTGGACAAGGCAAATGGTGTCAGATGTTGTTTGCAGGGACTCATAAAATAGTAGTTGTAGGCTGTTTTTCCTCCCCCTCTCCCCCACTCCTCTCAGTAGAAGCTGGTGCAGTGGGTGCAGGCGGCATTTTTGCAACCTTTGCCAAATGTCTACTTCTAACACACCCATATTTCATACTGCCTGAAGACTCTACCCAAAGAATAATATTACCTGATTCTGCTACAGCAGAACGTAAATCCTTCCAATAAAAGTCACACATGTACACACATACAATAGATACAAAATCTATTAATTAATAGATCTGTCTATATATAACAAAATCTTATTCCACTGTCACCTATACCCCAAAGGGATCTAAACCTAATAGAATATTTCCCTACTGATTTATATTGCTGCTCAGAGACCACTAGTAATGGCGCAGCTAAAAAATCTTGTAAATAAATAAATATAAAATATTAATCTATGAATCTGCTAATCCTATTCCTAACTATATTGGGTAAGCAATAAACAATGTGATGGAGAGAATATAAGTGTAAGTTGAGGGTTCAGAAAAGGACACTGAGAAAACTGCTGGAGTTCAGGCTTGCACAAAAGTATATCCTAAGAGCAAATGCTCAAGGAGATTTATAAGCAGCTATGCCCAATTCTTTCAACTGGAAAGAAACAATATTTGTTTACAATACTTTTACCCTGCCTCTCTCCTTTAAAAATAGGACCCAAGGCAACTTACATATTTAAAAATACAATATTAAAAGGTAAAAAAAGTAAATTATTCAAATATTATTCAAATATTAACAAACAATATCATATTTAAAATGCTAATGTTTCTACTGTGCATATTCTAGTGTCAGGTTCCAAAAATGTAAGAGAAGATTTGGATATTTCTGTTTCAGAGAGAAAATATTAACTACAGTATTACTTATTTTGTCTCCTTTTTTATTTCAGAACAGTCTTTCCATATGGGGATGGGGATGCCTTTGTGTTGTGCTGTTTCTAATCACATTTGGACCATTTGCTATATTTTACTTTGCATTATATATATTCTTCTTTGTGGGTGGGTAAGTATATTATTTTCTGTTGTTTGAATTATATAAAGACATCATTAGAATTAAGAGTGATGCATTGTAAATAGAAGTGACTGTTTTGCTTGCCAAGATATAACTTTTATTCATTGGAATACAACTGAACAGAAAAGATTGTGTTACTCTGTTTTCCATTGTCAACCATGTTTCAGCAAATGACTTGAGTGCAACTGGGCCTTGATGATAAAGCATTACAGTGGTGCCTCGCTAGACGATGATAATCTGTTCCACTGAAATCGCTGTTTAGCTAAATCATTGTCTAGTGAAAAGCATTTCCCCATTGGAATGCATTGAAACCCGTTTAATGCGTTCCAATTGGGAAGAATTGTCGTTGTCTAGCGAAGATCGGCCGTAGGACAGCTGCTTTGTAAGCTGCCAATCAGCTGTTTAAATCACTGTCTTGCGAAACTTAGGTCCCGAAAAGACCTGTTTTGGGAGCGCGGAGGAAGCTGTCAAAATCGTCATCTAGCGAAAATTGGTTTGCAAAGCAAGGACCAAACATTGTCCAGCGAAATTCCCCCATAGGAATCACTGTTTTGCGAATCGCTATAGTGATCGCAAAAAGTCAATGTCTAGCGAAAAAACTGTCATGCGGGGTAACTGTCTAGCGAGGCACCACTATATTCAGTTACATGAAAGATATTCATTTGAACCTGTGTGTATTGATTACAGTACAGATTAAGAATAAATGTTTTCTATGTTGCACAAAAACATACCGTGTTTCCCCGAAAATAAGACAGGGTCTTATATTAATTTTTGCTCCAAAAATGCATTAGGGCTTATTTTCAGAGGATGTTTTATTTTATTTTTATGTACAACAATCTACATTTATTGTTAGTCATGTCATCTTCTTTTGGTTGCTACACAATGGTGAAAGGTGGGATATCACTTAACTGGGGCTTATTTCTGGCGTAGGGCTTATATTACTAGCATCCTGAAAAATCATACTAGGGCTTATTTTCAGGTTAGGTCTTATTTTTGGGGAAACCAGGTAGAACTTATATTTCACTGAGACTCAACCAAAAACGTTTATATGTAAAAGAACAATTGTACTGGGGTGCGTGCAGGGGTGGGAAAGGAGTATTTAGCCACTCTGTTTATGCTAGATGGAGGTGGGGTAGAAATTTGTTTTCCTTCCACTGTCTTAATTTCCAGGTCTTTCGAGGGATTCTGAAGATCTTCAGACCCCAAGAGTATAGCCTTAAATAGCCCTGTTTTAAGGAGTTGTACTGATAGAGCACTGCCAGTGTGGCAGCTATAAGAATTGAAAGCTCAGGAAAGACCTCTAGCTGCAACTATCTCTTTGTGTTGGCAGAAAGGAAACTCATCCATTCAGCAGTCCTCTGAACAGCCTTGCTGAGAGCATTCCAGATTACTTTGAATATATGTCTTTTGCTTTTGTTTTTATCTAGTTTTTAAAATTCTGATTTTTAAAAATTCCAATGGGGGTAGGATTATGGGGAAAGGAATTTAGGTTTAGGGGGTAGGTATGGATAGGGAAAGGGTAAAACTCTAGCGAATGAGATAGTACATTTACATCAACTTGTACAACTGTACTAAAAAAAAGATAAAACCAGCAAATTTTGTAGTCTTACTACAGTTACTAATCTTTCTATTCCCTGATTAGACCTTCACATACTTCTTTAATCTATGCCTTCCAGGCTATTTTTTGAGTCTAATTATGAAATTATTCCCTATATCTCCAACAAACATAATAAAAGTCTCCTCTGTTTTATATTTCCCACACTATTTAAAAACATTTTTATATCTTTATTTATTTATTTATTTATTTATTTATTTCATTTCATTTCATTTCATTTCATTTCTATCCCGCCTATCTAGTCAATTGTGACCACTCTAGGCGGCTTACAACAAAGTTTTTTTAAAAAAATCTTTGTTTGCCTTGTGTGTTGTTGTTTAGTCGTTAAGTCGTGTCTTACTCTTTGTGACCCCATGAACCAGAGCACGCCAGGCCCTCCCATCTTCCACTGCCTCCCGGAGCTGGGTCAAATTCATGTTGATAGCTTCTATGACACTGTCCAACCATCTCATCTTCTGTCATCCCCTTCTCCTCTTGCCCTCACACTTTCCCAACGTCAGTGTCTTTTCCAGGGAGTCTTCTCTTCTCATGAGATGGCCAA